GGGCCCCGATAAGCGTTTTGGTTTGTAACCGAGGTGGACATTTATGAAATTTCGGCTCCTTTCTAATAAGTTACCAAGTAAAAACCAAGATTTACCAAGAGTTCTGTAGTTAACAAGAAAAACACATTCTTAACAATCATTTAAAATCTATATTTGCTATATATTATCACGAAGATCCACCTTCTTGCGGTGGGGTGCGCAGGGTCAGCCCAATTCCATCCCAGTATACCTTGGCAATCTACTATTGCTTATCGAAATTGTATGACTTGAAATTCTGTGTAACAGAATGATTTGCTTGATCTCATGGAGGTTGTATATAAGCATAATTGCTATGGAAAAGTTTTACCAATCAACCTCACCAATCAACCTCACAAAGCTATTAGACTTTCATTTTTTAGAAGTTTAGTCTTTCTGTTGAAAACCATGTTCAGGATGCATTATTCTTAAACAGATAAAACTCAGTGGAGTAACAGAACAAAATTGCTTTTAGTCAAATAACAAACGGTCCCGAACCTTTAGGGGGCCCCAGCAACAATTTTTCTTTGTTATTTTTCCTAGGGGACACAGCTGCTCCTTACACCACTAATAAAACTCTTTGCCATAATGATAACAGCCTTGATAGAGCTGTCCCAAGGACATACTTATCTATGGGGAGCTAACAACCGGTGCTTTGTAGCTAGCTAATTTTGAGCCACCACGTCACTGCTTTACATTCTACTGGCTCCTATAACTGAAAGTTTGGCCCCTGGTTAACCCCCAGATTTTTAAGGCTAAATTCGCCACTACAGGAGCTTTGTACATAAAATTTTTCATAGCTTTGTCTGCCTGTGCAGGACTAGTACAGGGAGGGGCGTACGATAAGGCTGTGACGCTACTGGGGGACACACCAAATCTCTGCGAGGTCTATTAAGACGCTGTGAAGGAGCGAATGTCTAGACATGCGCAATAAGATTTATAATTCCGTTTCCTCGTTTCAAAATAGCAAGGAGCGATGTGATGTAGGGAGAAACTTATTTATTATCATTTATACGAATTTATAGTGGTCAGTGAGGCAAAATGGGTGCTTGCTGTGGCAAAACGAAAGATCCACATCCAAAAGGAAAGAATGAACCGGCGAGTACACCAAGCGCGAATACTACAAATAACATTCAAATGAATACTCCTTTTAATCATGGGCCACCTCCCTCGGTTCAACCAACCAGTCCGTTTGTAAATATGAACAGTTCAGCTACGATGCAAAAAGGAACATCGGTTTATATTGGCTTATACGACTATGATGCCAGGATAACTGAAGACCTCAGCTTCAAGAAAGGTGAACGCCTCGAAATTATCAACACAGCCGACGGAGATTGGTGGTACGCACGATCACTGTCGACAGGCAAAGAAGGCTACATTCCAAGCACATATGTCGCTCCAGAAAAAAGTTATGAAGCGGAAGAGTGAGTTTTCAAATTTCAATTAATAGTTTGAAATTTATAAAGCTTAGGTTTGATACTGAAGCCTAATCTACTCACTTCGCCTTCATCTTTCGAACGCATTGTTTATTCCCTGCGTTTTGAAGCCAACATAGAGGAAGTGAAATGTTCCGATTGTAAAAGGTCTACATCAAGGAACTCATTTTAAGCACGAGCTACAATTCCCAAAAACTTAATTGACCAATTGAAGGCTTATGGGTGCCGTGATTCGTAAAAGATAACCTGATATCCAATTGTGGTGGAGCGTATATAATGTTTGCTTTTTGCATTTGACCTTGCCCTGGAAAATCAATGCAAAGTTGCCAAGAAATACGTAAAAGTCTCCTTGTTATTTGAGTGTTACATAAACTAAGCTGAAGTGCCATCAGGTTCCATAAATGTGGAAGTAATTCGATCCTGCCCCTGTAAACATATCACTAAATTTCTCAGTTTCTATTTTCTTCCCGCATAAGTTTTAGGCTTTAGGTTTATTTGTTCCTAGTTGTCCTTTGTTTCCCCTTAACCTTTGTGTTGCAGGCTGGCCCTTTAGGTTCTAAGAAAATATTAACTACTTTTTTATCGTAATTTTCTTTTGTAAACGGTTTCATAAAGGCATTTTTCCTTGTGTTTTTTTTTCAAAATTTATATGTTTCTGAATTTTTTTTGCTCTGATTATTGAAGTTTCTTTTAAGTTTTTCGCATTTTCGGTACCCGCTTGCTATATATATATATATAATATCAAGTTTCTTATAAAAATTTAGTGTATTCAGCTATTTTATCATTTTGATTAGAAATGAAGGTACAGAAGGAAAAACATTGTAGCATTTTGAAAGCATCTACAATGCCTGCCAAATTTGTGTTGCATTTGATATCTTTCATCCCTTTCCTGAAAAAAATTGCTAATTCCGCCTCCTTCCCACTAAAACAATGTTGATAATTTAGAGAAATATCATATAAGAAGTGCAAAGAAAGTGCTTCCTAAAATCCTAACCCGTTTGATAGTAAACCAACATTGTTGATAATTTAGAGAAATATCATAAAATAAGCACAAAAGAAAGTGCTCCCTAAAATTTTAACCCGTTTGATAGTAAACCAACATTGTTCTGTAGGGGAGAGGGGAATGACATTACTGTTCCAAGACTTTTGGCAGTCATTGTAGCATAATAGAGAAATTGAATTTACTGTTTTACGGGTCTGTCATAAAATGTGCTTGATGCCACTTCAGCAGAGCTGTGCATGCTTTTGTGTATAGAACACAACCATTATAAATTGAATGAAACTCTTAGTTTCAGGTTTAATGTGATCATGGGGCAAATAAAGCATCAGATTATATAGATATATATGTATGAAGTAATTAATTTTGTAAATTAAATCACTTTATGTGTAATTTTGACCTCATGGTGTGCAGAGATCATGACATCAACTGTCAAAATTGAATTATATACTTTGAACAGCATTGATTGGCTTTTAGAAAGATGAAATAATACACTGCTGCAATGTATCTGACCTGATGTACTCATTAAGTATACATAGTCAAAAATTCATTTGTTGCCTTTCCTCTTTAATTCTCCCCTGCAGTCACATTCCCCTTTGCAGAACATACATTTCCTGTAATAGATTTAGGATAAAATAAATTTTCTGAGAGTTTACTCAAGTGATAACTTGAAAAGGTAGTGTCAGCCTTTGCTTGGTCATGTTTTTTACCTTTATGAAATACATTTGCTTTATGAAATGAGATATGAAATAAAGTTGGATACCAATGTTTCTGGTTTATGATTAATCATACCACCCTCATCTTGCATAAATATTTGGAACCATTGATATACCAATCACTCTGCCTTTTCAAGAGCATGGACACAGGTCAAGAACAGTAGCATGCTCAGATGTATTCTTTTCAGTAAAAAAGTTAAACAACCAAGTATATGTGTATATTATGCTAATTAAAACAGAGTTTTGAAGGGGTCTTCCTTCAGATGTATAAAGGAGCCCTGTGTCATATTGAAAAAATGGTAAAACTTTTTAAATAAAGTTGTTACTTTTTACATGTGCAGGTATGGTTTTTAGTGCCCAAACCAAGCCCCATGTGTGAGAAAATGTTTTGTCTGATGATGCAAAGGGGTGTCACCTGTATGTTGCTTGCCTCTCCTAAGGCTTTCCATATTTTTTTTGTATAATGTCTTGAGGTGCCCTCTAAGGCTGTTATAGAAGCATGAAGCTGCAGCTAGGATAAAACGGATTTATGCTAACCTGAAGCTGTTTTTTCAGTTGGTTTTTTGGAAGCATTAAAAGAGCTGATGCAGAGAAAAGGTTGTTGATGCATGGACTGCCCACTGGCACCTTCTTAATCAGAAAAGCAGAAACTGCCCCTCAGGGTAACTTCTCACTCAGTGTCAGAGATGGCGAGACAGTGCGCCATTACAGAATTAGGAAGATGGATAATGGTGGATATTTCATAGCAGCAAGAGCAACATTCCACAGTCTTAATGATCTTGTTGCTCACTACATGAGAGATTCTGATGGCCTTGTTTGCCAGTTATCCTTGGCATGTCCAGGTAAAGTATCCTTTAAAGCTTTATTAAATCCCAAAGTCTACGATGAATTTTTTGGAAAGGGTTTGTGAATAAAAATGCTATTTTTAAACTTCAGGTGTCTTTGTTTGGCCACTGCTTTTTATGTAATTTTTTATTTTGCTGTTCCAGGTGATAGACCACAGACTGGGGGTCTGGCAAAGGATGCTTGGGAAATTCCAAGGGAATCTTTGAAACTCACAAGAAAGCTGGGAGCAGGTCAGTTTGGAGAAGTATGGGCTGGAATATGGAATAACACAACGCAAGTTGCAGTGAAAACATTGAAGGTTGGTACCATGTCACCAGCTGCTTTCTTAGAGGAAGCTCAGATGATGAAGAAACTAAGAGACAAACATCTGGTTCAGGTATGAGTTCAATTTATACTTGCCTATCTCGATTTGCATGCAAGATTTGTTTCTTGCACTGACAGGTCAGCGCATCTCTATTGAAAGTGTCATTATTAGGTAAGTAAAGTAGCTTGGAATGAAAAAATGTCATTAAATTGCTTCTCTGTGAGTACTCTTTGTAGCAAAAGTACCACATGCAAAGCTAAAGGACTGGAATTTTTTTTGTAGAGTTCTTACCTAGGGCCTTGGGTCCGTGTCCTACCTGTTTCCCCCTCTGAGTGGTTCTTTTGAAGGAAGAGTAACTTCATCAGCCACCCTTTGATTGATTTTTGTTCAAAAACCATACATTTACTTACAGATAATTTGCTTTTCTTTCAACAATCTTTTTAAAGGCTTTGTAGGAAGAAATACCTCAATATTGAGTACCACAATGTTGGGCCTTGTCCCCGCAATATTGAGTACCACAATGTTGGGCCTTGTCCAATGAATTACACACCCAAGTGTACTTTCCATATTTTGTTTCATATATATATATTGTGGTCTCAAGTTTATTGTTTTCAAAATTATTAATCATAAGGATACCAGCCAAACAATCCACTGGTCTCATCAAATTTTTTACATAAAGACTATTTTAAAAATGTATACTTGCATTCATATGTGAAGCTAAATATGAATTTATCTAACTGTAACTAGAACTGACAACAAACCAGATGCTGTTAATGTATGCTTGTCAACTTTGCAGTCATAATATTTTGCCTTGGAGACAAGACGCAAGCTAGTGCAAGTTTCCCCAAAACTTCCGCAAAGTAATTTTGATTAATTATGACTTTATCAAAATAAAAAAGTTCTATTCCAATATTTAAAGTCATATTGAAGTAAATGAAATTCTGATATCCACAAACATCCAGTAGACATGCATCTAAAACAAGCACTATTTGATTGCTTTCTAGCTCTATGCTATTTGTTCAGATCGGGAGCCAATCTACATTGTCACCGAGTTCATGTGCCATGGCAGTTTGCTTGATTTTCTGACTAAGGGTGAAGGACAAACTCTGAAATTCCCAAATATTATAGACTGTGCAGCACAAATTGCTTCTGGTATGTTTTATTTGGAGAAGCAGGGATATATTCACAGAGATTTGGCTGCAAGAAACATCTTGGTTGGAGAAAATTACATTTGTAAAGTGGCAGATTTTGGTTTAGCAAGACTGATTGAAGATGATGAGTACAATGCAAGGGAAGGTGCCCGGTTTCCCATCAAATGGACAGCACCTGAAGCAGCTTTGTACAATAAATTTACGATTAAGTCGGATGTATGGTCCTTTGGCATTCTTCTTGCAGAAATGGTTACCAAAGGAAGGGTGCCATATCCTGGTATGGCAAATGCTGAAGTCCTTGCCCAGGTTGAGCGTGGCTATAGAATGCCAATTCCACCTGGCTGCCCTCCACCACTTTATGATATTATGTTAAAATGCTGGAACAAAGTTGCAGAAGAGAGGCCAACCTTTGACTTTCTCCAAGCAACATTAGAGGATTATTTTGTTGCTACAGAACCTGGTTACAAAGATGCACAGTAACTTTTCTATGTAGGAAGCTGCTCATTTCATGTGGTACCAGTTGGTACATGATATGAAGCCAAGCAACAGAGTCACTCAGTAGCTTATTCAGTTTGTATTAAATTTTTATTGATCAGTTCAAAAGCTGGTCTTTGTCTTGATGACGATACTTATTGATGCCAACCCAAAATTTGTAATCATGAAAGATGCAAAAATCAAGCTAGATATCAACTAAAGATGTTCAAAGAAACTTCCATAACCAAATATAAAGCACCTTTGTTTGCAGTTGTAAATCTGTGACTTTTCATTGTATTCTAGTTAAGTACATTGTATGTATAACAGCAGACAGTGTTGGTTTTATAAGTCACAGCATACATGAACTAAAAGTTGCACAGTTGGCAAGTTTAAAATAGCCATTTGTACTAGATAAAAGTACACTTCTTGTTTGATATGTTTTATAGCTTGCAGCATGTACCTGTGGATTTTACGATGTGTATGAAACTGTCAAAATGACCAAAGATTGCAGGGATAAATGAGTACTGTTTAAGGTATTTTGAAAATGTCTACAGGTTTTAGAAAATTGCTTTTCAATTGAATAATTGCCATATTGTTAAGAGTGGCTGGTCAAGCATGTACCAGATTTCTGTGTCATGAGATTAAATTTTTTGGTTTTTGACAAACCTTTGTTTTTGCAGCTCTTGAGAAGGAAGTTAGATAGAAAATGCTCCGAACTTTTTACTAGTATTTTAGCTAAATTAGATATGATTCCAGTCAATTTTCCTGATAGCAAATCATGTTTATTTTTGTATTTTAAATTACCATTGGCTTTAAAACTATGAGATATACAGAACCAGTGTGCCAATATTTTTCTGGTAAAATAATGGCGCTTTTTTAGGGCAAATTTAAGTTAAGTTCTTTTCAAGCAATCATAATGATTATCCAGTTGCTTCATAGCAGCCTGAGACTAGAATGATACTTGTCATTTTTAACCAATCAAGCTTGCTTAATGTTTTCTTTCTTAACCCTAAAAGATGAAATTTCAACCCTATTGTTAAGACAAACACATTTTTTGGGTGTTGGCTCAATCTATTCCAAGCATGTATCCACCTTTTGAATAAGCCTTTTTAGATAGCTTATTTTCAAAATAGCCAGAAATAAAGGTTGGTGTATGGTAAAACTGAGTGAGAATGAGTCAAAAATACTTACTTTTTTGCTAAAATAAAAACCTTGAAGAAAAAACGATTAATAAAATTTCCTAAGGTATCATCTTCTTAGATATTTAGATGTTATAAGATGTTTTGTAGTTTTGTAATGACATGCAGATTTGAAGATGTGTAACTTACATTTTGCCCATACTAAGCAACTATAATCTCTCTCTGAAAAGACTCCCATTTGAAGTTTACCACAATGACCATGTATTAATTTATTTTTAACTTTTTAAGTGATTATGTTGCTAATTATTAGTCACATTCAGTGTATACTAATGACTAGATTCTATTTGTAACTGTAGTATTTTATTAATATGTCAGTTAAAAGTTATAGTTGTAAGCTTTCATAATTTTAATGATATTGTCAATTACATAGTATTTTATTTTTTAGCTCATTCTTTGTCTTTTAGAAAACATAATATGTTACATATTATACAAATCAATTTATGAGCAAACAAAACAGAAACAAGTTCAGAAACATGAACAGATGTTTTTGAAAAACAAAACTTCAGGTGGAACCTCAGTTGTGATATTTCTGAGTTGCTGAAGATTGCTTTAAGTGAAATTGAATGAGGATTTGTGAATCAAAACCGGGAGACACGTGCAACACAATCAGGGCGGGACTTTAATGTGCATATGGTGTTGCAAATGATTAGAGATTCTTTTAATCAAATTGTCCAATTTGACAGATTGAACATGCAGTTTGCCAAACTGAACATGAAATGCTAAATTAAGTTGGACCCTCATTAATTTGTACTTAAAAGGTCAGAATTGTCTGATAGTCCTAATAAAGGAGTTTAAACCTTATAGATGCAGATGTGGACCCATAAAGACAAGACGCAAGCTAGTGCAACTTTCCCCAAAACTTCAGCAAAGTAATTTTGATTAATCCAGTAGACTGTGCACAAACATCCAGTAGACATGCATCTAAAACAAGCACTATTTGATTGCTTTCTAGCTCTATGCCATTTGTTCAGATTAGATGCAGATGTCAACCCTTCGATTGGCTACAGAAACTAGCTACAGTACTGTAGGTAGGGGTGGCATTTGAGAAAAAAAGTTCAAAGTGCAGATGTTTGTATCTTACATGACTCCAAAAAAGTTATGTAATGCAAATGGCAAGACAGTATGACTGGCTTTTAAGACTAGTTTTTGTTCCAGCTGCATGGCTTTTAATCGAAATTCCCTTTACAATATTATCATCTTCCCAGGAACATCATCTTTAATTTCATCACAGGATTTGTATATTCAACTACAGAATTGATCTTTGCCTGCAGCTATCCAGATTTATCACTTATGCAGATTGTTACACCAACCATGACCATCATAATACCAAAGACAACCTCTAGAAGAGAATTCATGCTGGATGTGAGTATTAAGTTAAGCATCTTAATACAATGCAGTTTTAATACGATTCATTTAATAGCTAAATCTATTTTCAGATTAAGGAGTTGAGCTAAAAAGAATTATGGTAACATAAAATGAAACTAATATTTCTCTTGTCACTTATTACTGGCACCAATGTCATGTGATATAGACACCAATAGCATTTGATGATCATGGGTAAAAATATAAATTTTGATTAGAGGGGCAGAAATTGAGAGCTCAAAAATGGGAGGGATGGCAAAGACCTCAACATAGATGCTATTGAAGTTTTAAGCAAACTGATGGTGAAGGTTTCCTTAAACTTGTATGACTTGTAATTGAAGACAATGGACCAGATATGTCCAGCCCAAGGTTTACCAACATCCTTGATGATATCTGATAGAGCTGTTTGTGATGTTATAAAAGATGTTTGTGATGATAAAGTTGATAATGAAGTTGTTTGTGGTGTTATTAAAGGAGCAAAAAGCCACAAAAGTAACAAACCTTTTCCGAGTTTCTCACCAAGGCAATATCCAGTTATCAACGTAAAAACTAGTGTAAGTGAATTTACCAGAGGAACAGCAAATGATATATCTAAATTGTAAAGATAAATACTTGTTCCACGTATTTTATATGACAATTATGAACATGAGAATTGAGGCAAAATGTTTGAATAAATATTCAATGCAACATTTCAATTTTGGGAACCATAGAGGTGATTGTATTTTGTGATATGGTCATTACATCATGTTTGTTGTCTGTTGCCTTCAAGTCTAAGCTTTATTGATGATTATAAGTTCTTCTCTATAATCAGCTATGTCACTATGGAATGCCATGAGGTGCAGGCTCATGTGCTACAAGTCATTGCGGACTTTGCTGCAAGTCATCACAACGCGTTTCACAAGCTTCCAAATTTGCGAAAGATTTGTAAGTGTACAATTTTTCAATATCTAGTTGAGTTAACTCAGCTTAAACATTATCAATTTAGTCTTGTTCACAGTTATTTGGGAAGAAGCAAAATTTAAATTTTCTGCATATTTCTCTAGAACTAAACTGTGTCTGAGGATGGAATGGGTCGGCAGTAACTTCGTTATCATGAACCATTCAACAAAAAATGACTATCCTATCAGTCTCTATTATTAAAGATGATAAAATTTTGCTATATTTACCATTTTTTGATACAGCAATATAGAACAGAAGTGATCCACCTTGGTTGATAATAAATGGTGCCATGTACTAGAATAGAATTAGTTTTACAAATTTCGTTTTAAATAGGTGGTGATGTCAAATTGTTCATTGCAATTGGGCATAAAATATAGAGGTATAGATTGTTCAAAGACTTAGAAAAAGAAATCACTAAATGCTTGCTAAACTGTACAAGAATTATTATAATGCAACCAATATGTTGTAGTAAAAACAGTTAAATGAGGTGTGAATAAAACGAACATGTAACAATAGAGGTAAAGAACACAACAACAATATATAAGACAATAAATTTGTATAAATAGCAAATCATTGTTCTTTGCATAAAGTATCGTTGTTCACAGGGGATGTTGCTTCCAAAGGATTGAAACAGTTGGCTCAAAATAAATAATATGGGCAAAAGTTATGTATAAGTTTTTCTCTCCAAGCAGCCATTGATTAAGTCTGTTTTCACTAAAGAAGCTTGTCCCACTTGAAGTCAAAGGCCCCTGGTTATGTCTTATTTGTGCTCCTGTGTACAGTTAAAAAGGTAAGAAAAAGAAAGAAACAGGAAACCAACCCTCCAATTCTTGAGTAGATATAAAAGCTCTGCTATGACTTGAGAAACAAGTGAATTTGTTCTCACTTTTTCAAGACCTTTGACACCTGTTTTCATAAAAGCATTGGTTATTCCCCACACCAATGCAACAATTATAAGCCAAGCAATGTCCCCTGAAATTATAGAACAAGTTTATGTTAAAATTTCTCAAACTCTCTGATCAAAGAGGGTAAGACCAGTCATCAAGCAAGCAAGCAAGAATTATTTTTTGACCCTCTGCTTAAGGTTTTGGCAGGGTATTCCATGGGGGTAGTTAGGCTATTGACATTGAGAGCTGGGCCTAAAATTTTCTGTCTATAAACATATTAAGTGAAATGAATTTATAGAAAAAACACACAGAGAGGGTAACACAGTCTTGGGAGAGAGGGTCTAGAGGCCACATTTGCCCATTTTCAAACTCAGTACATCTGCACATTGCAATTTACACAATACAATATTTGTTCCTTGATCTGTCAATGTTTCAGTCTGGGGACCCTCTAGGATATTGGGGACCTAATCCCTTGCCCCCTCTTACTATCCTCTTGGGGTATTCATTCTAGAAAATCAATCTTAGGTCACAAGCTCCAGGTCAACATCAGCATAAAATAAATACCCAGAATGGCCTGATACCTATGTTTGCCATAAGTTTCCGTGTTTGCCAAAGAAATCTTGAAAGCTGCACCGACAAGGTGGTTCAGACACCAACCCCCTTCACAACTACAACACCCTTCATAAAAAACTGGTTAGGCATTCATGAAATTATATCAATTATTTTTTGAAAGACTGAAGCCTGCCCTATGCCTTTTGTAGCATTCTTTGAAATCATTCTTGTCGTTACTATAATTTATTTTTGGTTTCAAAAAGTGCGTCATAATTTCTTATAGATGTTATTTATTCTAGTTTCTGTATGCTACAACGATGCATTTTAAAGAAAACAAAGAAGATAAATAATAATAATGATAAAAAATTTTAACACGAAATTAATTTTAAAGTTCCATCGTGGTGAGCTTTGCAGATGAAAAAATCTGGCCGGAACTTTTCGTTACCTGCCTTCTCAAGTGACATCTTTGAACCGTTTTTTCATCATAACGGCAGATTCATGTTCCTCCCGTCAGTTGCCAAAAACTAGAAGATAAACAAAGATGGATGCTCACGACAGCTTTCTTGTAAGTCGCGTTTCCATAACGAGGCTACTTCGGCCGGGGAATTTAGCGGCAAAATTTGAACAGCTACATTGCGTACTACGCAATAGGCGAATGACCGATCCCTATATTAACAATTGATTAGATTTTTTAAATTTATTTTATGTGCACTTTGGTTCTGTTAGACAGATCTAAATTTCAGTTTTTTTTACTAATAAAAATTACGTCCGTATTGGTTCTCAATCGCAACGGAAAGTAAAGTCTGCACGCAGGCTAATGAAAATAATGATTGAGCAACAACAATCATGAAAATACACTCATTTTTTAATAAGATACTGGCTATAAGAAACGAGTACCGGACAGTCAGAAAAAATTGAAAAAAAACTTCAGTACTCGAAGCAAAAAATTAAGAAACTATTAAATGGTGATAAAACTGACAACAACGAAATTTGTAAAATCCAAGAACATGATTGCTCTGTTGGCCTAAAACTTAAGACACAAGGGATGAAAATATACTTACCACATTAGAAGGGAAGGGAATCTCTTGACGTGTTAAAAAAAGGTCACGAACATTTCATAACATCATTCATGACATCAAAATTAAGAAACTCTTAAGAAACAATGAGTATTGAAATTTCCAGAACATTAGGAAACTGAAGTACTCAACATCGACCTTTGTTTCTTATAAAAAAAATGAGTGTAGCGATAATAAGAATGACGATCATTGTCAGAATTCAAAGGGACCAATCAACCTGGGGATCAAATTACATTCATGAAGGTCTTTCAAGTTGACTCGTGACAATTTGTGTTTTCACATAAAGCTTCACACCCCGAGTGGCAAATCACTCCAAGAAAATCTCGTACATCTTTGGAAATCTTATTGTTTTACCAGAAAGTTCTCGGAAATCCTTTTGTTTTAGGGAAAATCTTGTACACTATTGGCAAGAGCGAATGGCCCCTCGTCCCATCCCATTCCCCATCGTTTCCCGTGCCCCGCACGTTTCCCCTCATGAACTCTGTTTGAAAATATATGTACCCCCGTCTTCTTCTCGAGAACTGTCGTACAAGTCACTTTCTCTGGAAATCAGATATGCCTAGTGCAGGTTTTACCTTGAACCTGAGACGGGAAACTTTGATTTCTGATGCTCAAAGCCTCTGTCCAAAGTAGCAAAAAGCGATCTTCGCTGATAAACGGATGAACAGCTACAACTGTGCACACCTGCAAGGCAGTAGAGGCCATGGAAGTACGGGGCAGCAGAAGAAACCTGAAGAAGATAAAAGCGGAAGTGAAGCCCCTGTCAGAGCGACCCGTTCAGTGAAAGAAATCCAAGCTGCACTTCAAAGGGCATTTTCAACAGGTAACTTGCTCAACTAGTTATTTTGTAAATATTTTGTTATAACCAGTCGTAGAAGAAGATCCCGAAATGTTTTGAAATCTTTTTGGTGCTTTTCGATCTGTTGGTAATTCCAAGAATTTTGCGCCCTGCTGATTCCAATGACGCCAAATAAAGAAATTTAGCCGCAAGGCAGCCTTTTCCAATTATGATTATTCCAATCTGAAACAGCATTGGTTACAGTACTAATATGCAAACTGAATGCGTGCTAAATAATCTAAGGACATCGGATTTCTGAACTGAAATCTGACCTAAAATATCTGTCTTGCGACCCTGTTCCTGCTCAATTTATTTATATAGGCCTAACAATTCGGACGATTCGCTCCAGTTTTCCTTTAATAACTTTAGACTAACTAAATCTGTAGGACTGATTTAATTTTTAAACATGACAAATACCATATTTTTACTGTTTTTTCATATTTCCATATTTAAATAAAAATTCCAGTTAATATGAAAGTCTCCAAAACTTTGACCAAAATGTGCAATTTATGAAAACAGCCCTCCGGTTTTCCTTTAATAACTTTTCGCAGCAAAATTATGAAAATACCATTTAAAGTTTAATCGATAGAACACAGTTTGCTACACTGTTTTTTATAATTTGCTAGAAGTTAAAGTTGTTTCAAAAACATTTTCAGCCCCCGAATGTTGGTAAAAACGGAATTTTCCCAAAACCGCTCTTCAGTTTTCCTTTAAGAACTTTTTTAAATCTCGGAGTTTTGGCCCAAACAGCCGTTAATTCTCTTTCTCGATACCTGCTACACTGTTTTTTCATAGTCTGCAGTCGGTTTAAGCACTTTGTTGTGTTTTTATTTTACGTCCAAAGTTGAGGAATTTTGCGAAAGTGCAACCTACGCCTCAAACCACGATGCAGACTTGAGTTTATTAGTCGTGCCAGGCGCTACCCCCTGAGTCGGTTTTCATCTCCAGTTGTTGAATATTCATCAAAATATTTGTTTAATTCTGTTTTTTCAAAAAAATACGTTTTATTTGACTTGCGAGGTCTAGGAAAATGAGATTCTTTTCCTGTCACCATGTTCAAAACCACTCGGCACATCAACTGCCGTCAATTTATTTCAGATTTTTTTTCTAAATTTTTTACCTATCCAATCTTGTAAATGATGCCATCACCTAAAATTTTTTTGCTTTGGTTGTCAAATTAGAACGGCCAACGAGTCCAAAACGGTCGCTTGAAAACAGCAAAAATCTCGCTACTCAACTCAAAGGAGTCGATTTATAGTCTCTTTATTGATTGAGAGGAGGGCCACTGCGCTCTGACGATTCGCAACCCTCCTCTGACGATTCGAGCAAAACAGCCCTCCAGTTTTCCTTTAATGATATTTCGCAGAAAAATTGTAAAAATGCCACTTAAAGTTGAATCAATTGAGGATGGTCTGCTTCACTGGTTTTTTATAGTTTGCAAGAGGTTAAAAGTGATTTAAGAACATTTTTAGCCCCCAGAATGTTTGGAAATTCTCGAATTTCCCAAAACTGCACCTCGGTTCCTTTAAATAACTTTTTAAAATCTTGGGCTTTTTGCCCAAACAGACGTTTATTCGTTTTTTCGATACCTGCTACACTGAATTTGACGTCAATGTTGTTAGCTGGTTAGCAAAAACCTTTAGACCCAAACAATATAAATTCTTTCAAAGGCCTCACAAATTCTTCACACAACCAACTTCAAAAGTCTTTTCTTATCTTCCACGATGAAATGTTTATATTGTTACCCCCAAATAACCCCCAAAGGAATCTGTTTATTTGTAAAAATGAGACTTGTTTTTATAGAGAATGGCATATACGCAATCATAGTGTTTGGAAAAAAAAATTTTCTGAGCACCCACTGGATTTTTGTTTCCTTGCGAGCCTTTGCCGTATTTATATTTGTCATATGATAGCTTTTCACGATTTTCAAGTTCATTTCATTTGCAATTTCACTAAATAATTCTTTCAAAAATATCAAGTCGAATTATAAATCAAAGCATAAAAAGATATTTCAATCTAAAATATTCCTATGATGATTAACTTTAGTGGCCTCTTTGTGATTGACTCTCATTTTTAATTATTTTTGTTCTAAATCTGTGTTTCTCTTGCATTTTTGTTAAGAATAATGTAATTATAATGATAAAAGCAATATAATACAATTTGTTTATATTTGGCTAGGAAATATTTGCTATGAGAACAAAAACTAACTATATCAATGCATGCAACATATCCCTTGGCAATCCGTGCAAGAGACCCTTTCAAGTCAAAACTATTATTTTAAAAATTGTTTACGCAAAAAGTTGTTTTCGATTGGATTAGTTTTTCAAGTTTTTTGCAGTTGTAGACGTTCGTTTGATTTTGCGTTAAAGATTTAGACTTCAAAATCGTAACAGTATCTAACGCTAATAAATGCCAAGTTTACCCTGTTTAAAATTGAAATACAATCACGACTGTTACATCCGGACCCCTTCCAATCTCTTATTATCATTATATACTCATTTGCTTTTTACATCTTTATATTGATCTGGAAACTGGATTCAAACTATGCTACCCTTAAATAAAAGATACTTTTTTCTATTGACGATCTCCCGTAGGACAGATGGTTTGCCAGATATAATACATTTGTAGAGCTCAAGCATAAGTTTTTACAAATTTGTTCAATGTATTGAGACTTATTGAGATTTATTTAATCGTGAACAGTTTTTCCACAAACCATTTAGATGAGTGGGTAGTAATTAGAATTGTTCAGTATATATAAGTCACAGGGGGCTGGGGCACCTATTCGATAATAGGAGTTTGTTAGCAATTTTCACCTCCAGGGTGGGGACTAATATTAAGGGTGCCAATTTGAGGATTTGCTACTTCAATTTCACTTCTTTTGCTGGATATGTCCTCTTTTTGGTATATTCTTGAAGTTTTAGTCTTGTAATCACCCCTCTTTAATCCTGAATCTGGTCATTTGAAATTGCATCAGCACGGTGCACCCATCAATCACCAAATTAGCAGAGATGAAGTTTAATCATTGAGTAAAGAAAGAAAGAATCTTTTCACATATATTCCAGATGGCGAGTGAAGTCCATTTCACCTAATGATAGAAGAATCTACCGACAAACCAGGGATTTGTTGCACTAACTGAAGATTTATTGACAAATTCATAAAGAATTGGGGATGCCACACCCCCTACACCCCCGCTTGCTACGCCCCTGCTTGTGATCCTCTGGATTCGAATGCCTTCTATCTGCATTTCCAAGCAAAGGAATCACGAGGTGTGGTCACAACGACAGGGAGGTACAGGGCCTTGCTCGACAAGCATATCTTATCAGTGTCCTAAAAACTACCGTCAGAGGCAATGTATAATAAATTTCAAAATACAGTACAATTCACGAATAGCAAACAATACAAGTAGAGTCAGGCGTAAACACCCCTAGTGAAATTAAAGAATGGTTATCCCTTTTGTTGGCATATCTAGGACCTCCACACCCCAACCCAGGCTGTGAACAGGTTTTTAACTTAGCCCTGTCATTCACGTAAATGAATTTCATACATACATTTTATACATACCCCTTGTACATAAAAGGTAGCGGTGGTCAGGGACGCCGGAGCGGGGGGCTTTGATGGGGGCAGCGCCCCCTTGCCTTTCACTAGGAAGGGCAGAGGAGGCAAATGTGCCCTTTTTGAGAAAATGACAATGTTAAATACAGTCATTTTTATTTAAAGATTTAACGTTAACCAAAATTCGAAACGGTTTCTTATGCTTCAAATATTCTTTTTTACTAAAAAATAAAATAAGATTATTACAAAACAAACGTTAGAATTAACGAAAAATCGAGCATTATTACGTTGACAGTTCTGTGAAATTATCAACTCTCCAACTGCTACTTACTGTAACCTATTGCTATTGTCACATGCTTTTACTTTCTCGCAGAGTTAACCTTCAAATGAAATAAAAGAATGGAATAATTTATTTTTCCACGATGCGAAGAGCGGATAGAAGGGTAACCTTGCGCCGATATAGCCACTGAAGATGCCCTTTCTAAATTTCTGTCCCCGCCTCGCCCTTTATTGGCTCCGATGGCCCTGTACCAGCGGCAATTTTAGGGGATACCAAGGGGCCACGGCCCTAGGCCCCGCGATTTTAATATCCAGAATTGGTCACGCACCCATAAAAAATATAAATTGAAAAGAATAAGGCCCTGCACCCTTCCTGCAAAGGAATTTCAAAAATTTCTGGCCGAGTTTCAAATCGGGTTGTTGCTGCGCAGGAATATCTGGTACACCTTTTTCTCTTGTGATTTCCCTGTTTTGGAGAGACTGGAAGTGGGTGGAGAGACTTTGGACGATGATTCTGCGATTTATCCGAAATTTTGTACTTTCAGGCTGAGTTTCTATCTTCGTTTTATGCAGATACAGTAAAGGTACATTGAAAGTTCGTTTTAATCAGTCGGATCCCAGATGCGGCTACTGTGCAGATAACTTATTGCTTAGGCCCGTTTTGGAAGAGCTGTTTTTGTGGGCAGGGCCTTTGATGTTTTGGTGCGATAACAGCAGGGAAATAATACGAAACCAGGTCAAGTGCTACTCCTATGAATGTTCTCCAGCTGTAAAGTTTTTTATATGTGAAGTTGTATCTTGACCTCGAATGTTCCATAAGGGACTGTCCAAATCAAAACATGAATCCAAATGAAGTTGAGGGAAAAGATTCACCATATTACCTTGCAAAGAAGAGCTTGTCAGACCGAACGGTGACTTCGAGTGAAGACAATATAGTGATAGACAACGATGAGAACAGGGCAGGAGAAAATGAAGACTGTATGATTGAGGACCTCGTAGACATAACTGAAGATGATGTGGCAGGGGATGTGGATAGTGACACAGATAGTGGATCATACTGGAGTGCAATTGATGAGGATGAAGAGGAAAACGACGAGGCACATTCGAACGTCACGTATTCACAGAACAGCTTTGAAGTCCAAAAGACTGATGAGTACATAGAAAGTGAAAGTGTCCATACTGCCATCAATAGAGAGTATGGTGGTAGCTTCACATCAAGGGAAGGGGTGAGGGTTATTTTAAAGGAAAGTGGCAATATCAGAATTGATGAAAAAATAGAGGAAGCCATTGAATATGAAACGGAGGCAACCCAGCTAGCAAGTCTGAAAGAAAATGCTGTATTTTGCTCTACAGAAGTTCAAGCTACAAACATAATTGGTCTTACCCCATCTGTTAATGACAAAAATGGTTCTGAGGAGAGACTGCTGGATAACTTTGTGAATGAAATTATTACTGATGAAGCAGCAAAGCTAGAAAAGTTTCCTGAAAGCAATGATGTTGCACATGAAAAGGCACCAGGGACTCAAAACTCTCCATTTATGAGTCTGCACAGTGATATAGCTCAAAATTTGTCTTGTAAAACTGGGATAGCTGAATTTAAGCCACAAATTGTTCAAAATGACTCTGTAGATTCAAATAAAAAGCTTGTTGATCCAACTTTGGATGTTGAAAAGTGTCTAGGTGCATATGATGTCATTGATCAATTTGATGTGAGAGTTTCTGAGAAAAATGCAAATGCTGTATTGTTTGAACCCAATCCAGTGATTCAGAAGCTTCATAATTTTGCTGTCGGAGTGAGAAGAACTGTCAGTTTCAGAAAACAAGAAAGAGCTAAAGAAGAATTTTCTTTCACCCATCCAACAAGACGCACTAAGTCAGACACTCATGTTTTCAGAAAGCAACCAATTGATGACTTTGTCAATGTAGAATATTCTACAAGGAAAGAAAAGAATGGAGAAGTTGTTGAGGTCCTTGTTGTCTCCCCAAATTTATCAAAGGGTCGGGTGAAAGAAGAAGATATTGATGTAGATTTTGTAGATGGGAAATCTCAATTGGATGAAATTGACGGACACAAATATAAGCTTAAAGATGTTGACATTGGCAGTGCGGATGATCTTGATGGTACAGTCCAGTTGAAAAAGTATTCAAATTTACATGATGATATTGATATTATATCTTTGTCAGGTTTTGATAATGGAAACTTCACAGATGGAAAAGCACAGGAGGCAAATGTGTCAGATTCTGCTGACAATGATTCACTTGAGAATCAAGAGGATCCTTTTGATGAATCAAAGCCTACAAGGCCCCCAAGACTAAAGAAGTTAAAAAAACAAGAGTCTCACGAAATAGCAACGTCTCATATGAAAAAAGTATCAAGTGAAACAGACATTCGAAGAAATTCTGAAAGAGGTAAATCCTTAATTTTATTGAATTATATACTTTTGATGTAATAGACTAAATTTTGGGATGGTTCTTGGAACAATTTTGTGGAATTTTGTTCTTACAGGTAAAATTTCAGCTTTTTTTCCCTAAATTAGTGTTTCATAATGTTTAAGATAATCTTTTTTTAAATTATTTTCCTTTAAATTATTGAAATTTACCTTCAATATGAAGTTATGCACTTGATTCATAATTCTTTCTGTGTTTTGAAGGAAATATTTTGGTTTCCAATGTTTAGGTAAACATGAACTATTAAAGGGCAGTTGCATGCCCCGACAGGACATGAATGGGGAATTAAAGCGACCCTTCCCTCCACAAGCGACCCTTCCCTCTACTAGCTTACAGGTCCAGCCTGACCCTAGCTCAGGGCTACGAGCCATGGCCAATGGCTAACTCGGCAGGAGACCGGCAAGGAGGGTGGATGAGCTACGACTCCAGGGGTCAATGTCTTCGGGCGAAAGAACTCCTTGAAAGAGGGATGATGTCGCTTTAAAAACACTGTAGAGGTGGTTCTGAGGGCCCATTTCTACTATTAGCCCCTTAGTTTTTTCTATATTGTGTCTTGTATCCCTTGTGCTTGAAGCCACCTTTCTATTTTGTTATTACTTTTGAATCACATCTTTGAAAGCACTTCTCTTTCTTCCTTGAAGCATTACCACTAACCAGAAATGGCAAAAAACACATGAGTGCATCTTCTTTTGATATTTCTTCCCTGCAAACTCTTGATTCCAAGAAGAAGTCAGTTTCTGATGAAAACATTTTCAAAGGAATCCTTCCATTTTTGGATTTTGAATCAAAGAAAAAGACCTTGAGTGGGTCAGGGACAAAAACGCTTCCAGCGGTAATAATAGTATATAATTTTTTTATTCAATTTTGAGATTTTTCTGGTTGGCATGGAAAAATTTTTTAGCTTTGTTTAATTTTAGGTGAAACATTCAAACAAATTTTCCATCTGTTAAAAATGTACAAAATTTTAGTCATAAGTTTTTTAAGTTTCTAATGTTGCATAAAAGTCTGATCTTTATCAACACAAAGAATGAAGCTGAGAGTCTTTTACCAGTTTGCTGTGATAAAGACTAGACACTTTGATTTAAAGTGGACAAATTGAGGTTCTCTTAAATTTAGCTTTCTCTATATTCAGTTTATACTGCTGATTTGAGTTTTTTGCCTTTGTCTATTTATTTATATAGTAAAGTATGTGAAATTACAAGCAGTCTAATAAATCTATCCTTGGATTTGCTTCAGTGAACATAAAGTTTTTATAATATTTTTAGAATGAAGAGAAACTACTGTTGTTTACTGATGCCTTTCCAACTGTCATTCCTGACTTTCCCCAAGACAAGCGTTCTCTTATTGCAAAAGAGATTTATACAACTGAAAGGAATTTTGTCAGAGGACTAGAGCTATTGGTTAAGGTATTCTTGGTTATGACAATTATTTTCATGTTCCCTTAGCATATCATCATGATTTGAAATGAATTATGCAAATTTATTCAATTAATTTCTGGTATGATCAGCAATTCATTCTTTCAAATGGTGAAGAGTGGCAAGGTTTGTTTTTAATTAATGTTGATTTTACCCTTCTATTTTGTAGTCGACTGTAACACATTATCTTATTTCAGCTGTTCAAAAGAAAATCTGTTGAATTTTGTCATTTGGAGAAAGATGAAATAGATACGGTTTTCTCAAATGTCGATGAGTAAGTTATTTTATTTGCTTAATGAATAAAGATAAAACCCTGTATTTTGGTTACCTCAATCATTCAGATGAGGTTCAACAACCTGGTTGACTGAGTATCTTACAAAATGCCTTCAATACCCTCTAAAGAGTTTCCAAGAATTTTTGAATTTTGATCACATAACATGAAAAAACACCATAGAATACTCACATATATGCAAAATCAGTTTTTTTTCAAAAATTGGGTGAGCTATGGCCGATATAAGATTTGAAATTGAGCAAATAACTGTTATTTTGGCTCAGTTCATAAAGTTATGAACTGAGACCAAATTACGGAGGTTTGATAGGGCCATAGCTTGTGCTCATCTGGACATATCTCAGTCAATTCGTAATGCCTTTAACTGACTTTGCAGATTTAGAGGTATTTCATGATGCTCTTTCAGGTTTTGGAAAAAATTTAAAAAATTCTAAAAATAGGTTTTTGTGACGTCATCACTTGACAACTCTATTGCCCTGTTGTTTGCTACCAATATAGACACTCAGTTGCTGAGGAACATGTCTAGTAGTGTCCAATTTACACAACCTGAAGCTATGTTATTCAATTCAGATGGTAATTCTGTCCATTCTGTGCCTACTAGCCCCACCTATGGTCAAAAAGTCTTGAGTTACAAAGGAGACTAGATACATGATTCTAGATTTTTGAAAATTATGCACAATTTACTGGTAGCATAACCAATTATTTGCACCATTTCTCATGTACTGTTATTGTCAGTCTGTTGCTGCAATCTTGGCCAAAAATGCTGAGACACTTACAAAAAAAGAAGCTACTTACAAGTCATCCGCCTCCCTTCCCTTCAAATCAATGTTGTGATTGGATTGGTAACCAAAATAGTAATCACTTCTTATTCTGTAACCATCTTAACCAACATTGACCCCATGGTAGTGGCGGATTTAGGGGGGGGGCAACTAGAGGCAGTTGAAGCAAGTATGGCGCCCCTTGGTAATTATGCGCCCCTTTTGAAGAATGAGAATTAGGTGAAAAAGTTTCTGAGACCGATAGGTTAATTTCCCTTAAGGATTACTTAAAAAGATATGTTGTTCATTCCGAAAATGGATCTGAAATTGTTGTATACAGCGTTCTGTCGTCATCAATTTTTGAAAATCTTTCAGCGCCCCCACTACCAACTGCCCCTTCTTCAAGTTTTCTCTGGATCCGCCTCTGCCCCATGGGGAGGGGTTTAGGTCACCAGGACATATAATATGAAGATATAGCATGCGGATTTCTCTTTTTGTTCAAATGTCTCAGCTATTTTAGGCCAGGAGTGTGGATATCAGTTTCAGTTCACCTTTTGGTCATTGTCATTGATGATGGTTGAGGGCATTTTTGGACTTTGTAGTGATAGTATTATTGTCTGTCCCTGTCTTTGTAGTTTACTTGGACAGTATCATTGCTACAGTGGAAAATTTTGCCCTGTGGCATTGTCATTTTTCAGGGCCAAGGGACAAATGTACCATAAACGTTTTATCTCATGATGTATCTCATGTTCTCATGTTGAGGATGTATCTCATGTTCAATTCAATTCAGTTTGTTGTAGAATGAGAATACTTTGATAATGCTGTAGTATATTATAAACATTCCAGAACAATGAAAGCCCTGATCTGATTATACATACCATTTATTAACTTGTTCCTCTTATCACATTTCTTCCATCCAGCATAATTCCAGCGATTACTATTATCATGATGTCAAAGAATATTCAAACATTCCTTGTAATATTACTACATTGCATTACAATCTATTCCTTATTGGTGAAAATGAATAATTTTTTAGGATCTTGGATTTTAACAAGGGGATATTAGACGATGTTTTTCAGCGAATAAACAGTTGGTCAGATGATCAAACAATCGGAGATATATTTGTCCATAGCGTGAGTGTATTTTGACATGTTTTCCAAGCAATCATTCTTCTGCTTTCTAGACAAAAGAAGTTGTCATTTCAGAAAATTGTTTAAGGAAACTTGTTTGCTCGATTTGCTGAGGTAATTTCAAGAAAGGTTCAAACAAAACGTGATCCCTGTTCATAACATCGCTGTCATATTACCAGTTTTGTTCTTTTCATGTTCACGTATTTGATGATATAAATTGCCATCAAATTTATGCCTTAACTATAAGAAATTTTATCAAACATATTGCTATAAATGGGAATTGAGAACTAAAGCTGCCAATACCTTGCAATAGCTCGCAGAAAAACAGCCTGGTCACTCCAATTGTTATTCAATGCTTCCTACTTTTTTTAAGATTGCAGAAGCCTGGACCCTGTATTTCCATTATAATTTATGTAGTCGCTTTGCAATTTGAAGCAATCTTTCATAACAAACTACTGCGACCAAAGCTTTGATGCTCGCCGAGTAAAAACTTGCTGCAGTTGGTTTCGGTAAAGTCAGCGCCAACTTTGTTTGGAATGGAAGTAATCCTTATTTTCTGTTCAATATTTTATAAACTTTCCCCAATTGTACCGTAGTTGCTTATACCTAGCTTCCGAAGGTTGTTTTTGGGATACTGAGAAACGTTTCTTATCGAGCAGTGTCTTTGTGGATCAACCCGATGTTATGTGATCTTGTGATTTCTGGGCCTGGATAACAGAGATGTGGTCATTTCTGCGATTTCGAGTTCGAATGTCAATAATCCCATTGCCAGAGATTAGTGAGACGTTTATAGACAGAAACTAGATTTTCTCAAAATGCTCGTCAGTACTTTAAGGTAATTGTGGCTCTTTCACACTCAAACAATGAAAATAAATTAGCGCTTCTAAGTTAATTTTCAAAGGGGTTCCGTTCATTCTAACCAGAGGATTTATGTTCTTCAGGCAGACAAATTCAAGATGTACGCGAAGTACTGTCAGAACTATGACACAAGTGAAGCATTCATCAAGCAGAAAGCGAAGAAGAAAAAAGATTTCGCTGGATTTCTTCAGGTAATTTCATAATTTGTTGGTTTCTTTAGGCCATCCATCTTTTAGAACAGACTAACCTAGGCATTCAGCAAAATCCTTTGAATTTTGAATTTCAGTGATGAATAATTTAACTTTCTTTCTTTGTTCTTAAGGCCTGCTACACCAACCCGGCCTGTCAGTTAGGCCTTACCCTACCATCATATTTGATTACAATTGTGCAAAGGATTCCACGATATGTTCTCCTACTCAAGGTGAGTATTTGCACCTATCTGTTGTTAGTAATGAAAAACTATGATCTTTTTAGCCAGGTGCTGAATTGACCTTGCAATGGGATCACATTTCGGAACAGATTGTTATTTGTAAATCTTGATCTGCTTTTATGGGGCTTCTTGTTTCTTTCTGGTAATGTTATGAATGTGAATTTATTTCTGAAGAACTAATCTGTTACAGTGTTTTTATCTTCTTTAAGCGTAACTCGGTATGATTTGCTATCTTCTCCAGTCAGTCATAATAACATCACATTAACATCGCAACCATGACACAATGAAGTGTTTTTCCTCTTAGCTAGTCGGTTTCTCTCATCATAATATGCTAACGTAAATATAGGGCTAGCTAGCGAGCATGATTAACTGTTAATATGTGGTTTGCTGTACCAAAAGTTTGCTGCTTGGTTTCTTATCGAAAGAACCGTGAAAATCTTTTTTGAATACGAAACAGAAATAAAAATATACAATACACGATAATGTTTTTCTCTAACTGTAATGTGGTAAATCTTCCAATCTGTTCTTGGCTGTTTGTTAATTTCTTGTCTTGCCAAAAATCGTGTGTTTACCGTTATTCGTCATGCTTATGGTGTAGCTTGCATCGCAGTTCATACAGAGGGGAATTAGCGAAAATCACCGAACGAGGAAAAGCTGGATAATTTTCTGACCGTATATTATGTAGCAAAGGCAAGATGAAATTATTTCTAGAGATTTCTTCAGCATCAATTGTATATCATATTTTCATTTAAGTCAGTATGAAAGTTTTGTATAACGGAGTTTACCACTCGTTTTAGGATCTTCTACGTAAGACTTCACCAACTCACCCGGATTACAATAACCTTACTGCAAGCGTAAAGAAAATGGTATGCGATTTTTAATCTGTAAGCCTTTTTTATACTGTATAACATTCCGCTTAATAGTATTCCATTTCTTCATAGAGGTAGAAATCGTACACCAGCCGTTATGAGATCCAGCTTATTCTGTTACCCAAGGTTTCAGATGTGGTAAATTTTCAAGGACTAGTTATCGCGTAAAATTTATATGTTTATAAGTATAAGTATCAGAATATTTTGCTTTCTCAAGTATATCAGAATTATTAACATATTAACTATTTATCGGCTGTCGAGTTTGGGATGGGCCTGGCAGGTCTATTGAGACTGTTATTGACCATTGAATGATTTTTCATACAGGAGGAGATCGCTTCATACATCAACAACCAACTGAAATTATCCCAAAGTGAAAAAGCTTTGGCTGCCCTCCAACATCAGATTGTTGGCTTAAAGGTTTGCTAAGATTCAACTTCTCATCTTGGTCTCTTCAACCTTCTCGGTTGCCATCCAAATATTTTGGGCATTTATATTACAGCTGTATTGACCATTGCTAGTGGCGTAACGCAGTTTAGGGCACCTTAGATTGCTATGGCCCCCTGACCAGAAATGGGTCCCCAAATCATTTTTATATACATGATTTGAAGACTTTTCTCAAGTTCATCTTATTTTAAAAAACTTTTAATTTCGTCAACTGAAGCTTTAGTAACTCAAGTTCCCCCTTGTTATCGAGAAAATGTTCTCATTTTTACATTTTTCTAGCGTGTTTGACTTTTTCTACACCCTTGGATGGGACTTTTTTGCCGTTCGTAAATGCGGGTTCTCGTCTCAGTCTTTTTTTTAGATCTCCAGATTCTTGCGCTACGCGACTGCTAATTTTTTAAAGCTTCAAAGTACAACATCGGGTTCTCATCGACTTTTCAAGCAAAAAAAATGAATAAGTAATACGTTTTTGAACGAATATCATCAAAGAGGTTGATTAAAATTTTTGAATTCTAAAGATATTTATGAGTCGATATGATTGCATCTATATTCTTACACCTTAGGATTAAGCGAAAGTATTCGTATAGACTTACTCCAAAAAGTAGGAGATGTAGTGATGACCCTTCTCTCTGTTCTAGGCGTACTATTTTTCAGGAAGAACGCTTGTCCACGAGGGTCCTGTTTGCTTGATGAACATTAAACGCACTTACCAGGTACTGCCTGTGTTTCCTACTAACGTTTTTCAGCGGGATTATTTTCAGATGAAACCTAAGATCTAAATAGCTGCAATTTACGTTGCGAACAACTTAATATTTACTTAGGAACCTAGGGCTACTACTTGTGTCCAGATGCTGATGTTGTCATTGATCACTTTGTTGTGTTATTGTAGTCAAAGTGGTTCGATAGAATTACAGATATATCTTTGCTCATTATATAAATTTATATATATAGCCCGGTCGTCTTTTCATCTAGTAGTTTTGGAATCGATCTACATACTAACGGAAAAGCCGCCATTGTGTAAACAAAAGGAGCTCGTTTTCTCCCTTGGACTCCGGCGGTAATTTTTCTTTAGGCACGTGGCACTGATTGGACAACTATACCGGTCTTGTACTTGCGTTTTTCCTATTGGCCTTTTTTGATCCACAACTGGGTATATATTCTCTATCGTGATATTTCTTTTTGTGTAAACATAAGATGAATATTTAAATTTCAGAAGGGTTAATGCTTTCCCCACCTGAAAATTGTTTGGCCCTCTTTTTCTCCAATATGCATTCTTTTATCATGGTATCAGAAAAAGCTGATCTTTAGGGAAATTATAGGCACTCATTTTATGGACTGTCCCTCTCGGATAATATAATATGATAATTATCTCCTAATTCAGGGTCTACTTATTTATCTATCTTGTATGCTAATCGTCGCCAATCAAAACTCCTATATGCCTAAAACATTTTCTAATGAAATTAAGTTATTTTCAATTGATAATCGCATCTTGAAGTTACTGATAATCGCATCTCGAAGTTATTGATAATCGCATCTTGAAGTTGTTGATAATCGCATCTTGAAGTATTGGTAATCGCATCTTGAAGTATTGGTAATTGCATCTTGAAGTTATTGATAATCGCATCTTGAAGTTATTGATAATCGCATCTTGAAGATAATGATAATCGCATCTTAAAGTTACTGATAATCGCATCTCGAAGTTATTGATAATCGCATCTTGAAGTTATTGATAATCGCATCTTGAAGTTAATGATAATCACATCTTGAAGATAATGATAATCGCATCTTGAAGTTACTGATAATCGCATCTCGAAGTTATTGATAATCGCATCTTGAAGTTATTGATAATCGCATCTTGAAGTTAATGATAATCGCATCTTGAAGTTAATGATAATCGCATCTTGAAGTTATTGATAATCGCATCTTGAAGTTAATGATAATCGCATCTTGAAGTTAATGATAATCGCATCTTGAAGTTAATGATAATCGCATCTTGAAGTTAATGATAATCGCATCTTGAAGTTAATGATAATCGCATCTTGAAGTTATTGATAATCGCATCTTGAATTGCAGTGTGTACTGTTCAATGATCTCATGGTTTTCGCAAGTAAAGGGGATAGCAAGCAGAGTGTCGTTGATCTCGTATTAGACCTCAGCCTTGTCTGGTTTCAGGATTTGGAGCAACTGGATCCACAAACAAGTAAGATATCAGTTACCCAAAATTTATCCGTATTTTTCATAAACTGTCAGATTACGTGGGTAGAATAGTACAATATAGGTATTCTGTGTCCAATTGTGTTAGGGATTGGAACTAGGGGAAGGGGGCTATTATGGGAGACCCTGGTCATGTATCTTATGCATAAATCGTTATTGTAAGCAAAGGTTTCTGGTATTTTAGAGTAAAAAAAGTATTAGTTTTATTCGCTGTTCCTTTGAGCAATGCTTGTTCCATTCTCAGTTTTGTTTATTTTCTCGCCAGATCTGAATAATCAAGTTAGATTTCCACTAAGCCGTTCGGTGCTTCCAAAGTTTTTGTGCAAGGGTGTAGAAAATCTGGCAAGTTTAATTTTAGATTGTGATAGGTGCCTTCTGTCGTAAGCAAGGGTGTGGGTCTGATTGATTCAGACCCAATCGCCCTGTCTGATTGGCTATTGCTGAATTTCTGTTTTTTTGACAAATGAGGATTTCCCATTACTGACACGTGTATGAGCAATAATTTCCACCAATCTACTTCAATCTTTGTCCCCCACGGCACATCTGATACCTAGGCCAATGAAAACCTTTGTAGTTAACATAAAATCCAAGCGACTATTTATGTTTGTGCTAGTAATGCTTTTTTGATGGTGTTTGAATTCTTTTTTCAAGCTAAAGAAGATTCCATCGGTTTGTACACGCCTGACAGACCCTATACAATATACGTTGGAACGAAGTCAGCGAAGAGGTTATGGCTGCAGCACATTAGAAATGCGATAATTGCTCATATTTCCGAAGACAATCCAAATGAAAATGCTACTTTATGTGAGTTGCGACAAATCACAGTTTCATTATTTCTATTAGCCTTTCCATCCCCTTAAGGTAACGGTAAACGTTTCTGACACGATATCTGGTTTTCTCTCCCTGAAAGCAAAACTATTAACGGAATCAGATTAAACTATACATTATTTGATGCAAAGGAATGTGGTGATTCAAACCATATAAGAATAATTGGCAAATACTGTAAAATGATACTTTCCAAGCAAATTTCTTGCTTGAATGAGTGTGCCACTTTCAAAAGCTATTTTGTACCCTTACGTTTGCGGTAAAAAAATCAGACTTGCATCAGCAGAAAGCGCAGATCCTTAGCTACCAAAGAGTGTCTCAGATTTTTCAACTATACCCTGTTAAAAATTGCCAAACAATTTTTCTCCTCTCTCATAGCTGTATTTGGCTATAAAAGACAGACCAGAGCAAATACAAAAATGTTGAGACGTTTTGCTTACCCGACATCTGTCCAGGCCGTGTGCATATTTCTGAGCCATTTGATTGGTTCCTTGGGTACAAAATAGCTTTTTCGTACCTGTATGTAGAGGAGTTGTAAGTCCGGAAAAAGGGGATTTTACTGCTCGCACTTGCAAGGTACACTCGTTAACCACAGTGTAATCCGGTTCAACTGACTTGAAGCTTTAAGATCAATAAGCCTGTTTAAATAAACACAGTCATACATTGGATACATGGATGTGCCATGCGATATTGTAAATGAGACATGCGACCACAACCGCAAAGAAAGTTATGGAAACCTTGGTATCATTGTGTGCCTTGAAAGTCCAGCTACTTGAATGTGAAAAAATCGAAAAATTGACGTTTTCACCCAGAAAACGTTTACCGTAACCTTAAAGGTCATTATTAATCGTAATCTTGTCTGCTCGTAGAACAAAACTCTAGATTTTATACGTATCTTTATATTTGTATTCTGTTATTTTGTTATTTGTATTTTGTTAATACTGTGCTACCAAAGTTAGTTTTTAGGATACTGAGAAGCTATAGAACAATGTCCTGGTCTTTCGCATTGATCCTTATGCACAGCTGTTGAGATTATTGCCTCAAACACAAGCCTGATAGCGTACCCCTAGAGCATCTAACTCTTCCTCTCATTCCAAACTGGGGCCTTAGTATTTTCATATCAGGGTGATCAATATTAAACTACAATCACTGCCAAAATTACTTGGAACACCCAACACTTTGCGCTGTGCTTTTCTATTTTTCATTTGTTTTCCTGAATACAACTACTTCCGTCCCTCTTCCCTCCAAAACAGTGTTGAAAGTATAGAAAAATATCATACAAGGCACATCAAAAGCGTACTCCACAATCCCTTCCTTTTTTTCTATAGTAAATCAACATTGTTCTTTGGGGGAGAGGGGAGGGTGGCTGAATTTGCCTTTGAAAACTGACGTTAGTGTTCCACGACTTTTGGCAGTGATTGTAGGTCAACAGTGCAAAACCCCAACAATGTCTTTCTACTGATGTTGGTCTTTTCCACAAATATTTTTTTATAATAATTCCTTGTTGCAAAATTTTCTTATTAAGTAAAGATGCGTTTGCAAGTTTCCCTTAACGTTTCTAATTCTACTGCCTGTGAGTCTCTATGCTAAGAAAATTTCATGCTTTTATGCTCTTTTGTCCTTCATTGCAGCTCAACGCAAAGCTACATATACCTACAAGAACGGTTGTGTTTATAGCGGGGATTTTCTTGAATCAAAGGTATTTCATTATGGTTGATAGGAAGATAGGCGGCACCTCCACAGTTTCATGTAGTCCATATCATTTATTTCAACCAATATTCAATTCAATTTTTAATTCAATTCAGTTTAATTTTAATTCAGTTTAATTTTATTTAAAATGATAATACTATGATAGTACAATAATATACACGATCCAAGAAAAGTATGGGCTTTCCTATCTTGGGCTTTTCTAGCTTTTCTAGGTATTTGTCAATTTCCAGTTTTTAATACTAGTTCTACCAGGTCTAAAGTTAGCGTCTAGTCGCTATTTTTCTTTGCCTGAATTTTCAGGACGTCTCTTGCATTTGTCTTCGGTTCTGATTGATAAAATGCCAGTGACAAACCATTGGCGTTCTTATGCAACCAAGAATTGATAAATGCACTCCCTAAAGACAAACAATATCACAATTGATGAAAATGTTGAGATTTATAAGAAACATAGAAAAACGTTTATAAATAACTTTAAATAAAAAGAATTGGAGCAACTGGACAATTTGAACAAAGTTGACCAATAGGACAGTATTTATGAGCCTGATTTTGATAGAAGCTTTTCACAATCAGTAGATTTACATTATCAGTAGAAATTTTCAGGAAAGATTGTAAAATTGAAACCGCTAAGTATACTTTGATGTCTGCAAATGTAACAAGCCAGAAATTAATGCAGAAAGAACATTTCTCCCCCCGCCGTTATACTTTTTAATTGTTCCTATATGTGCAGATGAATTTCTAATGTTTCTCCACAGATGACAATGTTTTGACACATTCGGTAATGTCCACAACTTCGATTAGTTTTTGTTTATCTCTGCAGCGAGAGGGCGAAGGAACAATGATGTGGCCAAATCAGATGACTTATCGGGTTTGTGGGCTAACGTGATTATTAATTATCATATTCTAGAGCGATTATTTAGAGCGATTATAATTAGTATATTGAAGGATAAAATTTTCCCAACAATATTGCGAATATTCGGTCATTCGGCAATTAGGGCCGTGGTATGGGTGTGGCCACAAAAGTCAGTTGTTTAAAAAACTTTCTCGCATAACCCTAAAATTTACAAAGCATAATAAGAAATTTCAACAATACGATTTGCTAAACACTTGATCAAAATATGATCTCATTTTGTGAATATAATGAGATGTCACAAACTCATTCCCTTCAAACCTTACTAATTTAGATGTAGCAGATGTTTAGTACTATGATTTTGTATCTGTTTTGTTAATTAAAACGTTTGATACATTGGTTCCTATAACTAGAGATTTCATATCTCTACAGTTGTCAAACTAAAAAGTTTCTCAAAAGTATCAGTCACACATCGAGTACAACACCAATCATTCGCATATTTTGTATTTATTCTATCTGATGCATTCGTTTAAATGCAGTGTTTCTCTCAGCTGATTAAACATAATTGCTTGATATTTGTTTGGGATTATTTCGTTTCTCTCTACTTAAAACCCAGGGATCTTGGATTGACGATGAAAGAAATGGCTATGGGGTTCTTGAATATGGCACTGGCGAGATTTACGAGGGGCAATGGAAAAATGATAAGCTGCGTGAGTCCTAAATATATACGTTTTTGTTGTGAATTCTTGCTGTGAATTTAATAGATACAATGGTCATTAAATGGTGGCAGGACCTGAAAAAGATTTTTCTCCTTGCAGCAAAATTCCCTGTGAAACGTTGACAGAATTTCCCCAAAGTGCGAGGGATATTTTAAGTTGCTTAAAGGCAATATGTCCTCTATTGTGCTCAGCTTTATTTTCACGGGAGTGAAATTCACGCTATGATGAGCTTGATCGATAATTAAAGGGCCTCTCCTGCCAAAAGATTTTTTATGGGCTAAAAAGTTAGTGCATGTATCATGGCAAAGTAATTTTTTGCAAAATTCCTATTAGTTTAGAAGTTGTAAGGCTTTGAAATTACACGATTTACACCAATCAGAGACAACTTTGATTCAAGAGCTTTTGGAGCAAATAACCGTGTTCCCATTGGAGTGAAGCTGTTTGGATTGTGCGACATATATGTCAACAACGAAAGGATGGCCCACAATTAAAACCTGATTCGAGCAGCAACAATTTGTATACTAAATATCTGTAAGATATTAGATATAATTTCATATCATTTTTCAAATTTATATCACAAAAATGCAGCTTTTGAGCTTGGTTGAATGAAATTGATAGCTCAAAAGCGTTCTAAAAACGCTGGAAATCTTTGAAAAGGAACCAACAGAAAATGAAGTGCTGATAATTTCAGATGATTGTATTTTCTAAAACAATTTTTCATTTTTTTGTTAAAAGTTCAGAGCAAAAATTATATGTCACAAGAGATGAATGTTCCGTAGAGAGGGAGTAGCATAAGTTTAGTATTGAAAGTAAAAAAATAGAGATTTCACATTGAAAGGTCCTGCCAGACAATAGTTACATGTTTCCTAGGAGTTGCTGCCTAAAATGTTTTGGCAGCGCCGTTGCTGGCCCAGTATGGCAAATCTATTTTTATCCATTGCAGATGATATTTTTTAAATGCATTCTTGACTGATGAAAATTGAATGAAAGTGAATAGCTGGCTTCCAATACGAGTATAAGCGAAGATATAAGCTGGAAATGTATACAGATATACCGTAAATCCTCGAATTAGCCTCCTGCGGGCTTATTTATTTTTGATATTTTTGGACGGGGGCTTATTCGAGGGGGGGGCCTATACGAGGGGGCCTATAAAATTATTGTGGACAATAAGAAGACATTATTAAAAGACCTTGTTTATTTTAGTAGGAATTTCTTTATGAGCATTTAATTAATTACTACCAAAAGTACGAATTTGTCGTGGCAATTTAATAAAACGCCATAGGGGTATTCCATGTCAAATCAACACAGGTATGACACCCATGTACTCAGATTGATTCATAACTTTGGTCAGGTAGTCCCTTTTATAGTTTGAAAATACACAGAAAATTTCAGCTCAGTACCTTGTATTGTTTCCGAGTTATGAGATGTTACATATTGATGACCACACCCTTATGCGAAGAAAGCCACCGCCCATTTTTTACAAGAAATGGCTGTAGAATAATGGTCTGCAATCAAGTACTATACTTAAGATCCTGTTGAAATTATGCAATCTGATGGAACTTGCTATGGAGATTCCAAATATCACATGCAAAATTCTGTAAACCTCACAGTTATCATTCTACAGCTGATTTAAATTGAAATAGTTGGTTAAAATTTTTTCGCAAACATTGCATTCTTTAAGTGTAAATAGCCAAAATGGGTCCAAACAGATCATAATGAAATTTGACATGAATCAAGTTGACATTATGCTTAAACAGACTATGAAGTTTGGTGATGGTGTTCTGTGTGCTTTTAAAGATACAAAGGGTTTTAAAAAATAGGTTTATTGTGTTTTTTGTGCACAGACGCTGACATACTGCTATGTTTCAAATACACATAATAATTAGCACTACTTTATATTTATATCTCAGTTATTAAGAGGCATATTTTGTTGTAGCTTTAAAGCAAGCAGAACCCCAATAATAAAAGTATAAAGAGGGTAGGATCACCCTGTGAAATATGGCTTAGTTTTCCTTGTGTAGATTTACAAAGAATAGAAATGAATAACAAGCATAATTCACATATATTTGTGTATGAAAGTTCAGGGTCTGTCCATATTTTTTCCTACAACAATTAAAAGGGGGTACAGATGGTATTGTAGAAAGCTTTGAATTTGGATATGGCTTGTCTTCATCATTAATGTTACTATTATCATGTAAGAAACAATTTCACTCTCTCAGCTTTGCAATAAACTAGCCTATGGCTAATCTACTCAAACAGGATATTCAGAGAATACAACACACGTTGAAAAGGAAACAGATAAATAAAATCATAGAAAACTTATTGGAATTCCCTGTGCCACCTTGCCTGTTTTGGTACAATATCAATGCATAAACTAATCTGATAAATTTTATCACAGGAACTTACCAGTATTGTAAAAGGGTGCCCTGTTTTATGTAAACATTGTTGCTAGGCAGATTATTTACAAGAGGAAATGGGGTGTGATGTCATACCCATAGGATGAATGGATTGTTGACAGCTATTGATGAGAAGCAAGCTGAGAGGCAAGTCAGGGCATGAATTTGTCACATTTTGTTAGAATTTATATGGAAATGATGCAATGGCCAAGTTTAGTTTCAGATCTGAAGGTGTCATGTGTCATGTGTTATGATGTAATTATACCTAAATTTAGCTGCCTGAAACTATAAAACCCATGCTTGCTAAGTCATAAAGTCAGATTCTGAGAAGTGGAAACAGCAAACTATGGTAAATTTTAGCCAGTTTTAACACTGCATATTGAATTAAATGGAAGCTTCAAAGGAAACCTGCTCAATTGGGTATCATCTGAAGGACCCCTGTCATAAGCTTACATTTATCAAGTTGAAAGGTTTAAAAGAAATTGATACTCTTGATGATATTTCAAAGGAGACTCTTATCTTACGAACGAATTTTGTTGAAAATATAACAGGCCATAACATATGTCTACACCATGAACAAAAGCTGCTCAACAAGTTCCACCTTGGGCAAAAAAAATGCTGCAACCCTTTGGAAAAAGACAGCCATAAAGGAAAAGGGTCATTGCGTGAGGTCACTTTAGAGATGGCAAAAAAACTCAAAGAGAGGAAAATATCAATTGTTCCAGGCAAGAAAATTTGTCCCAGCTGCCGTAAAGATATTAATGAAACATTGATTGATGAACATGAAGAAGCTCTGCCACATTCGGATGAAGAGGTACTTGACTTTGAAGCAAATTTAGATGGTGACAGAAACAGAGAGATCTTGAATTCATCTCTAATTGAAGAAGACATCAGCCCTTTAAAATTACATGCTGTCGCATCTCATTCAAGAGTTGCCCACGGAAAGAGAAAGATAGCTCAGGTTCAATCTAGATTCAGACAAAAACAGCTGGATCTGCAAATTACAATGGCAAAGGCTATAGATGTCGAGCCTAGAGAATTGGATCTAAGTTCAGAGGAGGAAAAGACACTAACCGAAACTGAACAGAAAGCAAAAGATTTTGATGTCTTGCTTTTTCTAATGAAAGAGAAGATAAGGGCCTCATCTCGAAAAGAAATAATAAAAATTTTGACCCTGACACCAAAATCTTGGTCAATACGGAAGACTGCTGACTTTTTCAATGTATCAAATTATCTAGTTAGAAGTGCATTTAAATTAAGAAAAGAGAAGGGCATCTTATCAGAACCACAAACGAAGAGGGGGAAATGTTTACCAAATGAAATTATCCAGCTTGTTGAAGACTTTTACTGTGATGATGAGTTTAGTCGGCAGATGCCAGGAAAGAAAGATTACGTTAGCATTTCACGAGGGGTACATCGACAAAAAAGACTGATCATGATGAATCTGAATGAACTTTATGCGGTCTTTAAAACTAAGTTTCCAGAGGTAAAGATAGGGTTCTCCAAGTTCTGCATGTTGAGACCCAAGTGGTGTGTCACAGTTGGGTCTTCAGGTGCTCACTCAGTCTGTGTTTGTTCAATTCATCAGAATGTAAAGCTGCTACTGAAGGCAGTAGATCTGGAACAATCTTATCATGAACTTATTGAAATGATTGTGTGCAACAGAAACAACAGGGAGTGTATGATACATCGGTGTGTTAATTGTCCAGGAACAAGATGTTTAAAAGATTACCTGATAAGAACATTAAAAGGAGAATTCGAAGAAGACAGTTACAACAGTGACACCATGATGTGTGAAGCAGAGACAGATAAGGACAGTGAGCAGGTAGCTGGATTGCAAAGAGATGATTTTTCTGAAGAGGAGCAAATAATTTTTAATCAATGGTGCAGTACTGACAGAACTGAAATGATTAAACAAACAGCTACTGTTGATGATTTTATTGATTTACTTGTGGAAAAGCTTGATAACATCACAAAGCATTCCTTCATTGCAAAAAAACAGGCTGAATATCTAAAGAAAAGAAAAACAAATTTGAAAGAAGATGAAGTAATTGCTATTCTTGATTTTGCTGAAAACTATCAATTTATTGTTCAAGACGAAGTACAAGGATTCCATTGGAATAAATCACAATGCACATTGCACCCTGTTGTTCTTTACACCAAAGAAAATCTTGATTTGGTATCTGAATCCTTGTGTTTTATCTCTGATGATCTAGATCATGATGTTGGCCTGGTGTATTTTATAATTCAAGAAACAGTCAAATACATAAAAGCACAAAAAACAAACTTTAATAGAATTGAATACTTTTCAGACGGTTGTGCAGCTCAGTATAAGAACTGCAAAAATTTTGTAAATATTTGCCATCACTATTCAGATTTTGGTTCCACATGCTGTTGGTCATTCTTTGCAACAAGTCATGGCAAGTCAGCTTGCGATGGACTGGGTGGCACAGTAAAAAGAATTGCAACAAGAGCAAGCTTGCAAAGAGCATATGATAACCAAATTTTAACAGCGAATCAACTGTTTCATTTCTGCCAAAGTGAGGTTAATGGGATAAAGTTTTTATTTGTGGAAAAGGAGAATTCAGATGTAGTTCGACAAGAATTGAAACCAAGATTTGAAATGGCTAAAACTGTACCTGGAACAAGGTCATATCATCATATTTTTCCTTTGTCCAAGACATGCATTGGAACAAAGCTAACATGCTCAGATAAAGAATTTTCATCAAAATTCGATTTTCTTATAAATTTTGGCTTCAGAAAGGTTTCAACTTCAATAAACTCTTTTGTAATTTGTAAATATGATCTCCAGTACTGGGTTGGCTTCATTGAAGAAACAAATAAAGGTGACAGTGAAGTGAAGGTTAGATTTCTCCATCCTAAATGTCCCGCAAGGTCATATTTTTGGCCAGAGAGAGAAGACACTTGCTGGTTACCAGATGAACAAGTCATTCAAAATCTGCAGGTTCTGTCTACGTCCACTGGAAGGCAATACAAGTTGAGCAATGATGATGAAAAGATATTGTCGAAACTTCTCAAGAACATCTAAAAACCTTTTTGTATCTAAAAACATTTCAATTATTGCTTAACATTTAAACCTTATTTTATTATTCACCGTGTAGGCTTAAAAGGGGCTCTATTACAAAATCCTTTTTTCTGTTAGCACAAAATTCATGACTCCAGAGTTTCTGGATATAAATGAGTTGTCTGTATTTATGATATTTCTCTTACACTTTGATTCTGAATTTTCAGGTCAAGACCAAGTAATAATGCTAATTATGTGTATTTGAAACATAGCAGTATGTCAGCGTCTGTGCACAAAAAACACAATAAACCTATTTTTTAAACCCTTTGTATCTTTAAAAGCACACAGAACACCATCACCAAACTTCATAGTCTGTTTAAGCATAATGTCAACTTGATTCATGTCAAATTTCATTATGATCTGTTTGGACCCATTTTGGCTATTTACACTTAAAGAATGTAATGTTTGCGAAAAATTTTTAACCAACTATTTCAATTTAAATCAGCTGTAGAATGATAACTGTGAGGTTTACAGAATTTTGCATGTGATATTTGGAATCTCCATAGCAAGTTCCATCAGATTGCATAATTTCAACAGGATCTTAAGTATAGTACTTGATTGCAGACCATTATTCTACAGCCATTTCTTGTAAAAAATGGGCGGTGGCTTTCTTCGCATAAGGGTGTGGTCATCAATATGTAACATCTCATAACTCGGAAACAATACAAGGTACTGAGCTGAAATTTTCTGTGTATTTTCAAACTATAAAAGGGACTACCTGACCAAAGTTATGAATCAATCTGAGTACATGGGTTTCACAGAAGTGAAGGCTGTGTTGATTTGACATGGAATGACCCCATAGGCAACCTCAGATGGCAAAAACCGTCAAATTGAGGGGTCCAATCCGAGAACATACGGTAGCAGTGGGGGCTTATTCGAGGGGAGGGGTTTTATTGGAAATTGTAGTTCTAGGGTGGGGGCTTATTCGAGGGGGGGGGGGCTTTTTAGAGGGGGGAATTCGAGGATTAACGGTAAGCCAAAATAGATTGAGTGATAAAGTAGTTTTAACTGCTGCAGCAACAAATTCATAGAGATCCACAGAAAGTGTTGGCAAGTGAAGGTCTTCATCAAAAGAAGTTTGAGAATTTATGGATTTTATTTTTCTATTTGACAAAGTTTACTTCCAATTTAGATTAGATATTTCTAGCGAGAGGGTACAATCTCACTTAAAAATGTTTGTTTAGTAAGTTAATGCGGCCAAATTCTCTGACTTGTTTACTTGCCTTTGTGCAGATGGACCTGGCACGGTCAAATACAGAAATGGCGACGAAATTCAAGGTGAATGGAAAATTGGAATTCGACATGGACAAGTAAGTTCAGTTTCACTGCATTTCATCTTTCAATACGCCTTTTTTGAAGTTATTTCATTTTCCTTGGGTCTTTATTGTTTTTGATAGACCAACGATACTCCTTCTAGCGGTGTGTGCGATCAATATTCACTATGATCTTTTTAAAGTAAGTGACAGTTCGCAATCTTCAGTTGACTCATTTAAACAGGCAAGGTATTGCGGTGATTGCACTTTTGCTCGTTTGGTTGATATCCATTTCGTTTCATATTTTATTCTTTGTACATCAGGCGAAAATCACCTTCAGCAATGGAGATGTATTTGATGGAGCTTTCAGAAGTGACCGCATTGAAGGAGATGGCAAACTGTCTTGCAAAAATGGAATGGAATATGATGGAGCCTGGAGGCGAAACATGGTATGTTGTTTAAAACGGACTTCTTTTGCTAAATAATTCGTTATTGTAGTATTAATAGCCTTATTTGCTGTTTTTTGTGCTGATTCTTGTAAACTCTAGTGAATTATAGGATCCAGAAACATCCTAAAGCGATCCATTAAGTGCTTTACCGCATTAAAACAGTGCAGCCACATTCATTTTCAGAATATCCAGTTTTAAACATTAGTATACGGAGATGCTGCTACAACTTCTAGTTTTCTGTTCATCAAATTTGAAAAATCCTCTAAACTCAAAGTTTAATGTTTGTTTGTTTTATGAAAATACTTTTAGCTTTGGGCAAGATCGGTAGAACTCCTCGA